GGTACAAACTAAGAACAGGCGTGGAAGTGGATATAAACAAATGTGCAGCAGTCAATTAAAATTTTCAAGAGAAAATGTTCTTTGGTAAAAAGCAGTGCCATATGCAGCTTTTTCACTGTGCTTAAACATTTTAAGTTATTACATAAGAGGGAAAACTGCAGTGCTCAAGAAAATATAAGTCAAAGCCTGATAGCCAAAAAAAAACAGCTACCCAACTTCAACAAAATCAAACAAAACCACCCTCAACTCAGCATCAAAACTATCAGTAATGTCTTCTTTCTTACTTCTATCTCCAAATTCAGGGGGCAGGTGCATGGATTACTGTGTGGGAGGAAGCAATACCTTTAAATGCCTTTGGATTTTGTTTGGGTTTTTGGGTTCTGTTGGTTTTTTTTTTGTTGGTTTTTTTGGGGGATGGAGGGGGAAGGGTATGGGGGTTTTTGTTGTTGCTGGTTTTGTTTTTAATTTGGACAGAATAGGGCTGATGTTAAGATCCTCCAAGATTACTGCCTTCTAGCCTGCTAAGAGAACCAGCTAGCTCTCTCGATATTTAACAAAAAACAGAACAACACTACCAGCAGAGGGCTTCATTCACATAACATCTACTTACCACAACTGTAAATGACTACTGCACAAAAGGTACACCAAATCAGAATCTCTCACATATTCAAGTTCATTCTTCAAAAAAGAATAAACTCCCCAATGAAGGCAATGTTATACTGAAAAAAAGACACACAATAATGCATAGCAGTGGATTACTAAGACACTGTCCAATTCTGAGTACTTTAGAAATACCTTCCAGAACCGTATCAGCTATGGTGATATGGCATGGTAATTTTTCGCACTGAGGAAGACAAAAGCAGATGGAATGTCTTCTACAGGCTACAGCTTCGCTTACACAGACAGGTGACCGAAGTAAAACACATATTCCTAAAAGCAGCTAGAAAAATTTAAGGAAGGCTAGGACGCTTTCAACCTTGATACTGTCTGAAAGAAGGTAGATCCCCTCAAGCAGGGAGGGGACAGGGCTGCAACAAAACCCTACCTATCATGGTTTGTAGTTTCCCTCCCACTTCTTTGTTAGTACTATCTTCTCACCTCTCTGCATCTCTAATGCATCTCATAAGCATCACCTTATCTAAGAAGATTAGCAACTGTAACAGCATTACCAAATTCCCTTTATCACCTCTCTAAAGCAAAGCAAGATTAATGAACACCTATTGGGTAAACAACAGGCTGATCACCTGGCTATGTGCAGCCAACAAGGTATGAAGACAAGACCACCCACTTGAAATTTAACGTGACAGATCAAGATCAGTAGTATGCAATCCATGCACTTGTACTGCAGCATCACCAATCTATGCTTCCACAGCCAGTTTCAAGAATAACGACTTTCTTTTCTACTAGGAAAGCCTCTCTTGAAACGTCCACATGAAACTTCAGGTGGTTTAACACCTATTCTACCAAGGCAGCAAGACAAACCCTTGTAAAAAAAAAAATACCCCTTCTGTACACATATGTGGAGGAACACATATGTTTCTCCAACAAGTACTTTTCTTTGAGAACAGAATCTGCAGAAGAGTTAAACATCTGAGGCTTGTAAACAAAACTAAGGAAAAAAAAAACAAACCCCTCTGTTCTGTAATTGGCACCAGCATCAACATTACTGTAACACTGCCTCACAACATTTTAAAAGGGAAAAAAATAAAACAGCATCATACAATGGTTACGATTGGACCTAGTTTCAACCCCCTGCCACAAACAGGGACACCTCACACTAGACTGTGTCACCAAAGGCTCTGTCCAACCTGGCTCTGAACAGTGCCAGGGATGGAGCATTTACCCCTTCTTTAGGCAGCCTGTTCCAGTGCCTCATCACTCTCACAATGAAGAACTTCTTCCTCATATCTAACCTGAACTTCCCCTGTTTAAGTTTTAATCCATTACCCCTTCTCCTAGCACTACAGTCCCTAATGAAGAAAGAGTCCCATCCCAGCATCTTTGTAAGCCCCCTTCAGATACTGGAAGGCTGCTACGAGGTCTCCATGCAGCCTGCTCTTCTCTAGGCAGAACAGCTCCAACTTTCTCAGCCTGCCTTCACACAAGAGGTCCTTCGGTTCCCTTATTATCCTTGTGTCCATCCTCTGGACTTGCTCCAACAGCTCCATGTCCTTCTTATGTTGAGGACACCAGAAATGTATACAATACTCCAAGTGGGGCCTCATGAGAGCATCACTGAGGGTCACCACCTCCTTCAACCTGCTGGTCATGCTCCTTTTGATGCGGCCCAGGACATGGTTGGCTTTGTGGGCTGTCGCCAGTTTGCAAATAGCACAAACTTTAAGAAGAAATTGCTGCATTCAAAGCAGTGAACCACACTGCTGGTGAACGTATTTTTTTGATCGGTCTTAACACAAAGTAGCTGCCAACCTTGATGTACTGGGTCAAGAAACAGGAACATAACAACAGGTCTTTACATAAGTGTGGATTTTATGAAATTGCACTTGGATGTTTACATCAGCTGCCCTACAAGGTCTTTGACATACATGCTGCACAAATTAGTTAGTACTAAAAAAAACAGAGCTGAAGAGTGAGTTTTTTCAACTTCTTAAAAGTCACTTTGGGAAAAGAGACAATAAACCCCCTGAAACACCGTGGAAAAAAGCACAATAACTTTGTGAACATTCTTCATATGAAAGCATGGCTCCATCACGATTTAAAAGTTACCATCATTCTGTGGCCAGAAATCAGGAAAAAACACAGACGTAGTCCACCTTATGCTCCAGAGACTGCGAAAAACATAGGTATCCCATGCTATCAGTATGCATAACATACCCTTAATAAAAGCTTCTGTGTTTTCAACTTCATCTTGCAAGCTGTCCTAAGTCTTAAGTAAAAAAAAAATTGCTTCCCTTCTTCATATAAGCCTAAATACTTGTTAGCACATTAACTGCCTTCGGAATTAACATCCTGAGACAAAACAACTGAGTTACTATATAGAACTTCAACCTACCTTCTGAAGTTTATACCATGACAGTTTTTTTAAATCAATACTTAAGTATAATATACAATGTAATCGAATTAAGCATGACATCCCCTATCTTTTGGGGGGCACAGCAGACAGGACATAACTGTTTCAACGAAAAATCAAAGAAAAAATCTTCACATACACACTAATCGCACTGCAGATTCTCAAATTCATTACATTTGAGATATTAAGAATTTGAGTTAATTAATGCTTACAGTGAAACTGTTCTGCTAACGATCTTGTGATTAGGTCATCTACAGCTTCTCTATGCCACAATGTACAGAGAAAATTGCTCTTCATGCTTTTCTTCTTTATGAAGAAATTGCGCTTTTACAAGCTATAGCTCCAGACTAAGTTAGATTCCACACTGAAATGTCTTAAAGGTGTCATAAAGAGCTTTCTTGACTGCTGCAATATAAACACATCAAAAACCTACCTGCCAAGCTTAAAATTTCAAAGAGCAACCTGATCATCCCACTATTGGCCAGGCATCAGAAACTGGGAAGGGGGGAGGGGGGGAGAGGAAAGTGTGTTTTCACATGTATTACGAGGTTTATTTATAGCATATCTAACTTCATGCACAAGACAGTAATTGCCAACTTCCATTCCATACTAACTTAGAAACAGACTACAGAACACCGTTTAACTCCATCAGGAGGGGACCTGAAAGGCAAGATTAATTTGATATTTAATCTCGTATGTTGCTAAGAAGTATCTTTATAGCACACAAATTATTTCTATCAGAATACATGAAGGGTCCGAAAACATACACTTAGAAGAATCAGCATACAAAAACCACACAGATCAGTGCAAACATACTGATCTGTGTAAAAACGGTGTGAAACTGGACAGTCCCAAAGAAGCACACATTTTCTCATGGAACGCCACCTATAAGGAGTGAAAGGAAGGATGAAAAAAGTTCTGTAAACACTGTAGGATGTGGTCCACATGTTTGTTCATTTCCCTAAACCCGGCAGAAAAACCCACTAGGGCACAAGCTTCTTCGAGCACAGCCATATACCAAGAAGCAATTTTGAGACGACAAGAAAGCAGCTTTTGTTTAGTCATGATAGCTTAATAATGATCTAAAAAATACATCAAATTACTTCCAGGTTCAGGTAAAGCTTGACTTTTAATAAAGACAGCCTATGATGCAAATCAGCTTTCACTGTAGAGTCTCCAGTAACGTACTGGCTAGCACAAAACAGAAAAACCTTGACACGCGCAGCTTCAAAATTTCTGAGGCCCTGCTCATGACGCCCTCACACGGAGGGCTACTCAGCATGGCAGAAAAGACTCCTTAAGGATATTAAGGGGGACAAGGAGCCTCAGCTGTTATCTGTGCAGCCTTCAGCATCACGCCAGAAGGCGCTCTGGTTCGGCACTGCCTGTGCAGGGCGAGGCAAGCGTTTTCAGCTGGCTGGAGGGCAAACCTCTTGTCACTAGTAAAAGCAAGTGAACCCTCCTTATTGCCTGGGGGTTTCAGCATCTCATCCAAACATTTTCATTCCCCCTCCCTAATACTTCTTGCAGACTTCTTAATTCCCTATCCGAAGGCGATATGGACCATAAGCGGAAAACCGCTGTGTCTGGAACACATCCTCTCTCCCGGTTATGCAAAAAAAACATTTACCCCGCGAGCCTACAGCTGCAGCTACCTCTCACCACCGGCACCATATCAGAAAAAACATAACGGGGGGAGGGGGTGGGGAGGGAGAACCTCACTGCGTCATGAAAAAAAAAGAAAAAAAAACCACGATGCAGGCGCAGGCGATCCGATGCATTCGCACTGTTTGCGCCTCCTCGAGGCTCACGGCGCTTTTCGCGTTACCCTCCCACCACTGCCGGCGCGCACTGAGGACCCGCACGGCCCCGCCGGGGACACAACGAGGGATCCTAGGCCGCGACCGCCCTGCATGGAGGCTGCCGAGAGGAGGGTGGGGAGTACCCGGGGGTTCGCAGCGGGGCTCACCTTATCCAGCTCATCGTGCAGCTCGGCGAGACTGGGCCGGATGAGCTTCTCCCCCAGGTCGGCGGCCGTGTGGCGGTAGTAGTCGATTCGGGGCACGGCGTCCATGGTGTTGTGGCCGAAGGTGCGCAAGTAGTAGGTGTTGGTGTGGGTATCATAGTAGTAGTGGTGGTGACCTCCGGAGTGCAGGCTGCCCTCGCTCATCACAGTGTCGCCGCCGTTCTGAAAACTGACATTGCCGCCCTCCGAACTGCCCCCCGGCTCGCCAGGGCTCTCGTCACCAGCCGACGGGTCCACGAAGTTCACCCGAAACCTGCCCTTGGCTTCCTCACTGCCTTTCCCCGCCGCGCCGCCTTCCCCGCTCGCCTTGCGGAGCTCCTCGGCCGGGCGGCCAGCGCCCTCGGCCACCAGGTCCACCTGGAAGCGGCTCTGGCTCGGCGTGGGACCCAATGGTCTGCCCAGAGTCTCGCCGCCAGCCCCATCCTTGCCGTCCTCCGAGCGCCGCTCATCGCTTGCAGCCCTCATCGCGGCAGGGCCAGGCGGCTGCTGCTGCTGCTGCTGTTGTTGTTGTTTGCCCTCCATACCTCTCCCTCTCTCCCTTTTCCCCCTTCCCTCTTTTCTCTCTTCTCGCCAATCGAGCAGTGCGCGCGGCTGCAGCTCCAACGATCTGACCACCCCTCGCGGCCGCGGCTCCGCTGCTTTAAACCACCAACCAGCGCCCGGGGCTGCAGCGCGCCGCACACAACGCCTGGCGCCGCGCACGCCCCGCCCCCTGCTGCAGCGCCAGGTGATGATGCCGCCGGTGCTGCTAACGCACCCCCCTCCTGTGCCGGCTGCGCGCTGCTTCAGCAGGGCCCGTGCCCGCCGCCGCCCTCCTGCTCCGCCCCGGTCCTCGCCGCCTTCGTGCTCCCGCTCGCCTACCCCCAAGCGCGCCCGCTACGCGAAGAAGCCGCCCACTGCCGTGACAGCGCCGCACGCTGATGAGCGGCCGCGTCGGGCGAGCCCACCGGGGCTTCCGCGGGAGCTAGCTGCGCGGGGCACGCGGCGGTGTGGGGCGGTGGATCCGCGGAAGGAAATGGTCCCCGCTGCTCTCCTTCTCCTGGCCTCCGGCGGCTAGTCCCTCCACCTGATCCCCTCTTGGTGGCGACAGGAACTTGGACGCGAAAGGGCCACTGCTGCCTCCCCCCTCCCGCTCGCTTCCCTGCTCGGGCAAAAGCGAGATGCGGGGGGCTGCCGGCGCTGCCTGTTCTCTAAGCTCCGCCCGCTCCAGGCAGCGGCCGCGGGAGCGGCTTCCCGACCCGCCGGCAGCGCTGGCGGGGAGGGCGGCGGCGGCGGCGGCTCCGGCTCCTCCCGGCCCAAAGAATGGCCGTAGCAGCATCCGCCCTGCGGCGGCCTGGGGAGGGACGGAGCCCAGGGGTCTGGGGGGCGGGGAGGGGGGAACGACAAGCAGCGCCTGGACCGGGGCGGGGGTCTCCCCTCTGTCAAAGCCTGTCAGCGCCTGTCAACCCGCCGGCCGCCACCACCTCTCGCGAGAGGAGCAGCGGCGGTGGGGGATGAGCGGGCCGTGACGGCTCCGCGAGCTGCGGGAATGAAGCCGCTGGCGCGGCCGGAGGAGCGGCCTGCTTCACATGGCTTGCTAAGGGACCTCCCGTGCCCCCTCTCGCCCCCGGCAGCTGATTATAGCGCTCCGCTGGCGGGGTCGGTTCGCGGGTTGGAGGCTAGGTGGCAGTGGGGCTCCGACGCCCGGCCCGGCGGCCGCAGCTGTGATGGTGCTTCCGTTGCGCCCGGCGGCCCCTCTCCTGCTCACAGCCCTGCAAAACCCCCAGCCCCGCTTTCAGTCGCCTCATCTTGGATCTTTGCCGTACGCAACCTAGCTGCTCCTTAGCGTTGTCCGGGTGTAAAGCGTCCGGGTGTACGGCTTGGGTAAGTGCAAAGATGAGGTGTGCCTGCGGGTAACCCAGGACCAGAAAATGCCGGGGAAGCACAGGGAAGTTTGCCCACGGATACCTTGAGGGAGGAATAAACGAGAAGAGTAAAAGCAGGCCGTCTTTGAGAGCTGTTTTCAGTTTCAGCCACCACATCTCTTCCTAGTGTTACGTAAAAGTCATTTTCTCCTCACATCATAGATCTAATGTCAGTAATAAGTATTTTTCTGTGTCTTGTGTTGCCGTAGTCTCTTAAATTGTAAGCTTTCTCCAAAAGTACACATGGTTTTAGTTACTTAATTTTAAAAGTGCAGTTGTTGGGCATCGTCTTCCCCTTTCCCCCCCCACTCCCCCTCTCTTAGTGGAGCATAAGCATCTGGATAATCCATTAAAGCATAGGAGGTTAGCTCTGAGGCTGTGAAAAAGAAACCTTGGATGTAAGAAAAGTCTTCTCTTTCCACAGTAAGGAATTAGAAAGGATCCACCAGTAATTTTGCATCTTGTATTTTATTATCACTGTACTTGAAGGTCACAAAACAAAAAAGAGGGTTGGGCAAGAGTTACCAAAACAGTTTTACCTTGTTCAATTGCTAAAACTCATCAAGCAAACGTTCACTTAAGTTAATCCTCTCAAGCAGTGCCACTTATTTATTTCAAAAACATCTTGGGTGGTACTTCATGGTTCCAGGTTTGTGTCTAGCAAATTCCTGAGTGCCAACACCCATTTTCTAGCTCACCACGTCTCTACTGTCTTATTTAAATTAGCAAGAAACTTGGTGACATAACCAAACAGAAAAGGACTGGAGTTATAAAACAAATCTTGCTTTTTCTTTACAGTTGCTTAGAGGAAGAAGTATTTCAATTTTAGGGATGTGTTTATGTAAAAGGGCTGAGGACACCAGTAGGCTGAAAACATGAGCACACTGATCCTTTCCTGTTCAAGCGCTGTTTTAGAAAAAGAACAAAAAATAATACGCTTCAGAGTTGTTTGAGGAATTCCTTGATGGACTCCCAAACTGAGAGTAACAGATTAAAAAAGACTGGATTTGCTAAATTTTCAGAGTGTAAAGAATAAACAAAAATCTGTGAATGAACTGGAAAATAAAAGATTAAAGCACGGTGAAGTACTTTTGTCAGGGAGCAAGGACTTGAAAAACAGTGGATGATAAAGAGGACAAATCAGAATAAAGAATGTACAAAGAAAGTTCTCCACTGTATGTTTTGCACAGGCAGACATAAACACCTGCGTAGACTGTCAGATAAGGTGGAAGCAATTTAGATTTGGAAAATTACAATTTCTGTCAGTTTCCTGTATTAAATAAGCAGGGAAAGAGCAGGGAAGCAGCTTGTGAAATCCCATATTCATGATATAGTTGGTGGTGATGGGATTGTATTATGATATTTAGCTATTTTAAATGAAGTGTCATTCTATGTGTATGGCTAAGATAGTCATTGGCCACGTGTGCGAGGCTCACAGTCTGCCTGATGTCAGTCCCTCTTTCACCTTTATTTTTATTATTGCAACACAATGCTCAAACGTTTAATCCATCCCACAATTCTGTGTTGCCAGAAGCCACAATCAGGTTGGCCTCACTCATGGTGAGGGAGAGAGCCAGAGCAGCAGTCTGAGTGAAGCGGGTGACGGATGGAGCCCTTGCACTTCTGCCATCAAGAAGAGGTTCCTTCTTAGAAGAAGGAAGAGGGAACTGTGTCAGAAGAGTATGCTAATGGGAAGAAAATGTGGCGCAGAAAAGTCCCAAGAGGGAAGAGTACATCATCATAGTTGAAATACAGTAGGGGCACATAATTCTGTGAGGGAGAACCTTATCAAAATGAAAGAAAAAACCGAGGGTGTATCATTAATAGCAAATAAATTTTGTGATGTGCATCCATCAAATGTGATATAATGCTAAATACTGTCTTTGAAGAAAGCAATGAATTGAGGATGCTACCACAGTCCTCATGAAAAACAAGGAAATAGGGGACCCAACAATAAGAAGACGGATGAGGAAAATGCTGTCCTCTCAAAACCGAAAGGACCAAGGAAGTTCAGAAATACTAGTATATGGGAAACTGGCAAGAGTCAGAGGAAAATGGGCCAGACGTTCTTAAAGGTCCTGGGACTTCACATGACCTGTGAGAAGGGTGAGAGAATCTGTAACTTTAAAGGAGAATAAACAGAACACATGCTCCAAATATGGCCAAATAAAATGCCATTAACACTAAAAAATACACTTTGAAGGAAAAAAAGAGAAATTAATATTCACTTTAAACTCAAATTATTTATTGCATACCACTGCTTAAAACATTAACACAGTAGAGTCTGGGTGTCATTGGTGAACAAAACAAAAGTGTAATACATTAAATAAAAGTAAGCAATAAATTAATTTCACCTAAGATTATTTACCATAGAACCTTTAACTTTTTTCTTCTTTACAAAGTGTGGAGTGAGTAGCTGTGGAAGGTTTCCCTGTCTGTTAGAGATGCAAAAGCACTGCTGAAAATCCAAAATCTGGTTTTGGTAGTTAAAAAGCATGGGAACATTGAATTAATACTTATACATGTATAATAAATACATTACTGGAGAAAATACCAGATGCAGTTGGCTTAGTGCCTTACTGAGGTACCTTTCATCATCAAACACCCTTTTGGCACTGGAGGGTGTCAGAAAGGTCTATGAGAATGGCTGTCAGAGTTGGCAAAAGGAATTTAATGCCCAGATGAACCTCCACATAAGAAAATCAGAACAGAGCAACTGTGCTGTGTTAGATGAAGAATTTGTTTAGTTCCGTAACCAGCCTGCAGCAGTGGCCACCAAGGAAAGACTGCCTAAGAAGAGGGCAGGCACAGGTCTTTCAGGTACTTTCCTAGACCCCAACATTTTGCAGCTAGGGCATAGCTAAGCAAGCCAGGGGGTCTTTCTGTTCCATCAACTTGTCTGTTTTCCTCCTGACATTATACAGCTTCCCAGTGGTGCGTGGCAGGGACTTTCACATGTAAACATGGTGTAAGTAACTGCTTCCTTTTTCTACTTTAAATTTGGCATTTGCCAGCTTCACCTGGTACTCCATAGTGCTCATATGATACCCAATGTGAAATACTGAAAAATGCAGCCTTTTATGGAATTATGACTGTTATGGCCATTTAGACTGCTTCCCTCTCCTGCTTGCCTCTTTTCCAAGTAGAACTCCTAAGTCCTTGCTCCTGTGGACACTGTTCCACACATTCTTGCTTCTCTCTGGTTCTGAACAACTTAGTCTATTCTCTTTCCTCTGTTTAAATTGGGTATTTATCAAAACATGGACCTTCTTGTTTCATTGATCCTTAGTTTTCTTAAAAACCTGTGATCTTGTCAAAAGTTTGTCAGAAAATCATGCTAAGTCATGTCTACTTGCCTGTGAACACCCATCAGAAAACTCTGGTATACTCCCAGTCTACAAGAGCTGTGCTGACACTCTGCAAACCATATTTGCCCACGCGTCCTCAGATTCTACCCTTTATTATAGTTTCTCATGATTTGTTTGATGATAGGTGCCAGACTTAGAAGCTTGTAAATCCACAGATCTCCTCTCAAATAATAAAATATAAACATCTACTTTCCAAAGTTCCAAAAGCTGGTTTCAAGATGCTTTGTGTCAGAGTTAGTAATTCAGCAGTTTTGCCCTTGCATTCCTCTAGACCTTATTGCAGAGTGCCCTTCGGACTGGTTGCATTGTTCAGGCAGATCCCTCCTATTCATGCATCTACCTCTTCCACAGTGCAGGCAGATAACAAGAACTTACTTTGTCTTCTTGATAGGGTCTTATCTTCTCTGAGTGTTCTTTTTATATCGTCATCATCCATTGGCCTTAGACTCTTGATAGACCTGCTGTTCCAAATACATGTAAGGGACGGTTTCTTACTTTTTTTTTTTTCTTCTGCATATGCTGTTTGGGCAGTCATCTCATGCTTATCATGTTTTGGTTTGGGTTTAATATACTTGGACACAACTTCAGCTTTTCAGAGGATTCTTCTAGTAACTTGCCTTGTATCTGATGTTCAGTTATGTCAGCGTTTTTTCAACCTTTCTCAAGTCATGCTTGATTGGTTTTTTAAATTTGCTTTGCCTCTCAAAAATGATTTTTCAGCAATCAAAACTCTTAAGAACCTCGCTTGTTTTGGTCTTCTCTCCAGCTTTGTCTTTGACCAGCCTCCTCATTCTGTTTTTTGTTTGGTTTTGTTTTTTTTTTTCTGCTGAGCATAGTCTGAGAGATTTGGGAGTTTTGCATACTTTTTTGTTTCTGCAGGTCAAGCTATAGTCATTGTTGCAATGCAGTTCTTTGGTACTAAGATTTTTGAATAGGTCATGTGTATGCATTGCTTTAAACATAATGAGGGTTATTTCCTCTCTTGTATATCACCTACTTAGTTGCTCCTTGAAACAGTCTTTGTTAGCATCTAAAAATGTTATTTCTTCATCATGATCCAGTGTCGGATTTTTTCAGTCAGTACACAGCCTGATTCTTCTTCTTTTTTTTCCTTTGGTATATTTTTTCCATCCTTCTTTTTTCTTTCCTGTTCCACAACAAACACAGTTAATATTTGTATTCTACTACTGTACTGTTTATTGTGTCTTTTATAATTAAGGTTCATCCAAATGAGTGTTTAAGTAGTACTGTCTTTTCCCAGAAATCTGAATGAAGTCCTAACAAACACTGTGTTGTCGTGTGTTAACTTACCTTTATTTGTATTATACTAATCCTAGCTTACAAGAAGAAAAGGTAATTGCAGCAACACTTCTGAAAGGCTGCCAGATAAATCCTGTGATTAAGATACTCAAAAATTAAACCCATTTGCTGGCAGCCAGATGTGGTGGTGGACCAGTCTGTTTCAAGGACCTTTCTTCTTCCAGCCATGCTTTTGATGTGTCTGCGTGTGTCCTTAATATCCCACTGCCCTAACGCAACACTGCCTTGTTTTGATTGACCTGGTGGTAACGAGTACCTACCTCCATTGATGGCTCAAATTCTGATAATTGGGTATTTCTAACCTTTTGTGTTTGAAAACTGGCATGTAATATAGGTTTTGGGTAACTTCTTTAAAGGACTTCAATACTTAATACTCTGTTAGCTATTTATTTTATGTAGGAGTGAGGCGGAGGATATATCTCATGTCCATACAGGAATGGAAGTTTTTGCAAGATGCTGTACTTTTTTGGTAGCTGAAAAAACGATGTTCAGCATCTACTTGAGTTCCTGAGTTTCCATGTTTAGTTTTAGGCTGCTGGTTTATCTTTAAAGTCCTGGTTTTCTTCGTATCCAAGAGCCTGCCTTTTATCATGTGCCCATATCAGTCCACTCAAGACCAGTGAAGCCCCGCAGGCTCTAGAAACCATTGCCAAGGTCTACATGTGAAAAAGTGAGATTAAAAGTGAAGACCAGATAATTATGGACTTTAATTATCACATATCATCCAGAGCACTTAGTATCTGACTCATACATTTTTTTTGTCCAGCATTTGCAAGTTGCAGTGTTTATGTGCTAGAAGAAATTATTCAAAGGGGAAATGGGACTTGTTATCTTAAACTGCTATGGTTATAGACAGTTACATGAAGAATAACTTGAGAAATAGATAAATTTATTGCAGCAACTCTGAAATTGTAAATAAGCAGGCAAACAAGCAGGCTTTTTATGCAGTACAGTGCAACTTCAAGGCAAAATTATATTCTTCACAGTTTATCTTTTTTTGTTCTAGTTTCAGTCATTTTTACGGGTCTCAGTCTCTAAGGAATTTTCAGTAGACAAAGTTGCAGAGTAGCACTGAGGTGCTGCTGAAATATGGACAGCCTGAATGCTCTGTAACCATTCAGAGCAGACCATGGAGTACTGATTCTGATTCCAAGCCTTGCATGCAGATTGCAGCCAAGTAGCTCTGGACAGAGCTCATATAATCTCCCTCACCAGAGATCCTCCTATTTAATTTCTTCATGAGCTAGCGACCTGTTCTAATACCTTCTTCCTGACATTCCTGCATAAACTGAGTCCAATTGGGGTGATTCAGTTCTTTCTTCAGTTCATTTCTTTGCTCTCTAGAATTACGTGCAGAAAGTTGTCTCAAACATACAGAGAACATTCTCCATGTAGAGACATGAGACAGCCAGAATACAGAGGTGAGGAACTGCTTTACCCTTCAGGGGTGTATCTAAGTGATAGCGATTTATCTCATTTTTCCTTTTCAAAGTGGTTGGTTGGTTACTTAATTGGGGGGGGGGAGGAGGCCAAAATAACTTCCACATCTTTGTATCCCATTCATTGGTTTCTGAACTTTATGCCCTTTGGAGCAGACACCCACTATGTAAAGAAGCCTAGGGAAGTGAGTGGGTTGGCGCACAGCCTACAAGTGCCCACAGACAAGATGTCTATATTTGCAGAAGCTCAAGCCAGCAAACCACATTCTACTCATAGAATTAATTTTCAATCCTTTTCTTTTAATTTTCCTGTCATTATGACAGTCCATTAAATTTTTTTAGGTTTTTTCCTTTCATGTTCCATAAGCCCTCTGTCAAAATTGAGTGGAAGTTAGCAATCATTTATGCTTCAGTCATCCTTTTGGGGTGGTTTTTTCCTTTCCTACTTCATTCAGCATTTGGAAAACTCTTAGGTTTGTTTTGCCTAATTATATTATTTTATATTTTGTTTTTTTTTTGCTTGAGTTTTTACCATAGGAAAACATCTAACATTTCCAAGAAATTTCCCAGCACTGTTTGTACTGTTTAGCAACTGGTTGGTGAAGTGGCAGAAGTTAAAAAAAGTGCAGGAAACAAAAGTGTAGGAAACAAAGTATGTGAGTAGATGTCTCTTGCAGGACCCAAGAGCCTGGGAGAGGCAAGGCTGCTCAGCTGCACATTGCCAGATCCAGCCAGCAGTGAGGCTGAAGATGTATTCCCATTAGGTAAACACACACAGAGCACACGTATGCACCACATCAGTACCAGTATGCATGTGTGGGCACACAGATCAGACAGACACCCAGAGCACTCACACAGGCACAGGCAGCATGGAGGGCCTGAGCCCCCTCCCTTCTCTGGCGGGCAGGATGGCAATCCACAAGTGACTCCATGCACACATGAGTGAATGCTGTGGGTCCTTCTGGCAGCTGGCTCAGACCCTCTACCAGACCAACAGCTGCCCCTTAATCTGAGACTTCCCACTTTTTGGCACTGGAACATACAGCTGCTGAGCCTGCTGATGGGGCAGACCATGGTGCACATGCGCACACGCATGCATGCACAGGCACACACACACACGTGCACAGAGATGCACATGCACACAGAGCAGGCTGGGACACCCTTGTCCCCATAGCTAAACCTCTTGTGTTCATCCTTAGGCACCCCCACTGGCTCCCACCC